TTTTGATCTCGGTGGTGAGTAAGTGTCAGCTAGGATGAGAGGGCAGTGGTCCGAAGTGGAAGTGGAAGCAACATGGAGCGCGATCGTGGGGTAAATGGAGTCCCATGATGGATTGCAGAAAACTCTGTCTAATGTGACTAGCGTTGGGGAGGCCTGCTCGTTGCTCCAGGTAAACCTCTGATTACTACAGCGGATCTCAAACAATTCTGCATAGTTAATGGCCGCCCTAAATTTTCTCATGAGCCGTCGGTTGAGATTAAGGTTGTTTTTGTCTCTAGCCTCATAGATGAGGTTGAAATCTCCTAGGATGATCCAAGGGGTGTTTGTGGCTGGGGCAGCGGCACACATCTCAGTCAGGAAGGCGTCTTTGGCTTGATCGTCGGAAGGGCCGTACACGAACGAGAGACGGTATGTTTTATTGTCCGCTAATGATTTAACCGTGGTGGAAATGGAGAAGGTGTTAGTGGAGAAATCTGCAAGCTCTACTGATGCGTTGTCCCAGAAGATGTTGAAGCCTCCCCTGGTGCCCTCGGCAGGTAGATGGGTTGCTTTGTCTAACAGGTTTCCACCTATGTCCCGAACTAGAGAATCATCCCAGGAGTTAATTTTGGTCTCTTGCAGGCAGATGATCGCCGGTCTCCACGCAGCAATAGCTTCAGAAACAGCGGAGCGTTTAGCAGGCATGTTAAGGCCTCTAACGTTCTAGGTGATGATGGTGCGAAAGGTGTCACACATTTGGACACATTGGATTCAGTAGGGTAAATATCACTAAGAAAAGGCAAAGTACACCATCCTCACTCGCAAGCCACATCAATGGCGACCACCACCAGTAGCCCGCTACTGTCGCCATCAAACTACAGCTACTACCACTCTTTCCTGACGAAGAACACAGCAACACCATCTCTGCTCGCAGGCAGTAGAGTCGGAGTGCACCACCAATAGCCCAATGCTCACTACGACTAGCTACTGCACCCACCCAAGACCGATAACAACAACAGAAGAAACTTAACTTGCACCGGCAGTGTGCCGGCCCCTGCTGAACACATGGAGGTTTTTCTAACATGGGGGAACCTGGTCGGCGTCGAGGGCCAAGCTGCTGGGGCCGTCAAGTCCTGTCGCGACCCTGAGAGCCACCTTGTCGAGGCGGGTGAGGGCTCCCAGGGCGGCAATCTCCTCGTCGGTGAGGGGTGTGTCGAAGCGCTTGAGGAGTTCTTCTGCCGCGGCCATGATCATCTTCTCCTTTGGGCCTAGGATGCCGAGGGCCTGCACGAGACGTAGGGTCGCCCGCTGGGTTACAGGCACCGTGCTTTTGGACACCACCTAACGCGGGTTGCGCCTGGTTGGAGCGGAGGAGGCTCTGTTGGAAGGGGGCACTCTGGTGCTTTGGGTGGCAGTGAGCAGGGGACGGGGCGCTGGTAGATCGGTGAACAGGCTACGAGCAGCAGTTGGTTTGATCATCAAGGGGGCGGGTGGTGAGCTGCATTGACCGATCTCCAGGACGCCAACCTGCATGGTGACAGCAGTGATCTGAAGTGCCTGAGAGTGTTGTTCAGCCGCGGGGTTTGGTCTAGAGCGGGGTGGTGCGTGCTCTCTTCTCTGTGTGGGTGGAGGGTTCGGGGCTGGTGGGGGTGTTGGGGTGGCCACAGCGGCTATCGGCATGGTCAGGTCAG